ACCTTGTCTTGGTTAAAATCACGGTTTTTTTAGTTCACTTTCTCTCTCACACAAAAAAAAGCTCATCCATATAACCAGACGTGCGTCCAACCTTATGCAATCGGAGTGATAATTAAAACATATATAGAGAGGAGGATGGTGGTCATCAAACCTTGATGACCGAGAAGAGACGTTACTTTTCTGTTCTAAATACCTTAAACCATCAGTGCTGGTTTCATACATATGAGAATACATGCAGACGCATAAAAACAATCACATGCGTTGAGGTTAACGTATGAGTTGAATTTACCAAATCAATTTATACCTTATCAAAGTTTAGATATGGAGTATATATACAGCATTCAAGGATGTCGGTGAATTTTCTTAATTCGTTAGCTTGAAGGTAGTTGTAAGGATGATACTCTGCCTTGATGTTGTCCGGCCTACGCAACTAATTGTGGAAAAAAATCAAATACCAGCCATTTAATCGGCATTTGGTGACTAAACCCCTAATATAGTTCCCATATATTCTTTCTGATGTGTGCAAGCAATACACAAAGCAGATAAGCTATAGCTTTTCAAGACTGGACAACAAAAGTGGATATTCACACTTCATATCCAACAAATAGCTAGTTGATCCTATTATTATATAATATCGAATGCACCGATAGAATGAAGCAAAAATGCAGAATGAAGTAATGAAAATACCGTGCTCATAACAAAACAAAATTTTAAAGATATGATCGCCCAATAGTAAAACAGGCTGTTGAAAAGATGCAATGATCCGCAGGGAAAAACAAACTCAAATTTTAATTAAGGAGCTTAACTTTATGATCAGCCTTTGAGCTTTTACTGAATCCATTATGCATTTAAAAGACAATCCAGAAGTATAAGATTTCATAAAATGATAGAATGTGTGGAATAAAATAGAAACAACGGGCAAACAATAGAAGCTGAATGATGTAAAGACCTGGGAGTAAAGCTATGTAAGTTGGCAGCAAACATGCGTAATTTCTCTATCTCTTGTTGCTCCCACCCAGCGTACAGCAAGCGAGGCACAATATCTTGATCATGATTTGAGTCATTATCCTCCAGCTTAGGCGTACTTTCTTTCATATTGGCATCTTCAAACACTTTTTCGTTTCCATCGGTCAATTTTTGCGTTTGAATATTATCTTTATGGCGACAATTTCTATCTTCTCTGGCCCCAAAGAGATTTTCATTGTCTGAGCCTCGCTCACTAACCAAGTGAGTGGCCAAATGGGCAAGCAGACAGAAACGATTGATTGGTGAGGGCAAAGAAACTAGTAACTGACGCATGAATATACTCCGACAAGCACTGCGTTCAAGCAACAGGTCGGGACTAGAAGCAGATGCAAGTAAAGCAATTCCTCCGAACTGCCGGCCATATACCTCCACAGCATGTAGCAGATGCTCTGCATAAATGCGGTCAATTTCAGAATCGCGAATGGCGCCGAGGTCAGAATCTCCCGACTAAGTATAAGAAAAATAAGAGAAAAATAAACTAGCTATATTTTTTAACCATAAACCAAAGTAACACAACAGATATCCATTTAGTTGCCTAAGAATTCGCTAAATATATTCTATCCTGCCCGGTCTCACTCAGAAAAAAAAGAAATGCCAGAGAATGGAGGGTGAGCTG